ACTGAATATGTTAAAGCTGTAGTGAAATGCTTCTCCTAATCATGTAGTTATAAAAAAAAAATAGTTTATCTACCTTTGGAAGTCAAAAGTAGATCGAAGGATATCTGATTAATAAAGAATTCTCTGAACCTGCATATAATAAGACTTTTCCTCAAAACAATATTAGCTTTAAAAGATAAAACACTTATAGACATCTTTATGTATAAACTATATTTCAGGCCAAAATAATGTAATTTTAAAAAAAGAATAAAAAACATAATTAAACTGCTGAATCTTTTTTTTTTTTTCTTAAATCATTCTAGGTAGCCCGTGTTGGCTTTATACTCATAAACTGCCTCAGCCTCCCAGTATGGATAACACGCTTGCTCAATTGCATCTGCTTTGTGTAAGCTAACTTTCAAAATTACCAACTCATTACATTATTATTATTTTTGTTGTTTTTGAGACAGGGTCTCCCTGAAGCTCCAGCTGTCCTGGAACTCACTAGATCTGCCTGCCTCTGCCCCTCCTGAGTGCTGGGATTAGAGGTATGGGCCACCACATGCAGCAACTCAAGACATTATTTAGAGTTGGACTATTCAGGAAGATTGTTACATATAATACTTCTATACTTATTTCAATTTAGACTTAGATTTCTAATATCTAACCCTAAATACTTGGCAAGTGAACAGTAGCTTCTTGTCTAAAAAAAAGAAAAAAGCCCAATAAGAAAGATTTCATTTTTGGGGGGTTTTAACTTTATTTATCTATTTAATTCTTTTTTGGGTCTTTTTGAGACAGGGTCTCCTTGTAGCTCCTGTTGGCTTGGAACTCGCTATGTAGACCAGGCTGGCCTTGAACTCACAGAGATTCTCCTGCCTCTGCCTCCCAAGTGCTGGTATTAAAGATGTGCACCACCATACCTGGCTTTAATTTTTTTTTGAGACAAGGTCTCATAATGTAGCTTTGGCTGGCCTCAAACACAGAGATCCAGCTTCCTCTGCCTCTCTGGTGCTAGGATTAAAGGACAGCACCACCACAGCTGACCTGTAACTTTATTTTAAAAATACTTTGGAAATAGCAGTCCTGAAAGCCTACACAATAATGAAAGAAAAAAAATTTAAAAATATAACCCAATAATAATTTTCGACACAAAAAACATTCATTTTTCAAACAAACAACAAGGTATTCAGAGAAACTCTTACCACTTGGATAAGGAATTCTACTGGAAAACCTCCTAATGTTTCAGTGTCAGAGCCAGAAATTTTAGTTCTCCAAGGAGACTGTCCTAATAAAGGATCACTATCCTAGGGAAACAGAAGAAATCAACCAGTCATTGACTGTGCAAAAAACAATGTCTTTAGATAAAATCAAATGTCTACTTTAATGAAAATTATATTAAAATCCAATAAAATATTTCCAGCATTTAAACAACTACTTCTTTAATATCTGACAACTCAGTATGGGTAGATCCTGAAGTCTGAAATTGTTAACAGATGCTTAGTTCCTAAGAACATGATTTATAGTCACAACAGTTAAACTACTGATGGCATTTCTATATTACTTACTGTAATTGGTGACTGGAGAGGAGGAGTATAATGTAATCGTGGTGGAGTCATAAAAAACCGAGAAGGCCGTTGTTTTTGTCCAAAGGCAGCAATTGGCATTGTCTCATGAGGCTCATTGCTCTTTGGGAAAAGAGAGGAATCTATAAACTTAGAGAATCTGCAAACATTATATTTGAACCTGAGCTACACCTCATGCATAGCTCATGATTTATGACAGTTCATGAAGCATACTCTATGATTTTATTATAGGCTGTATCACTCTAGAAATAGCAAAGGCCAGAACTTAGATCAGATAATGAAAACACTGTTTTGTTGTTAAAGAACCCACAAATCAGGATTAAGAGAAGAAATAGAACAAAGGATCAAAGCAGTCTGCAGAGCTAGCCATCCACATTAAAGGATCTATGGCTGCTTTGGTTATCTGTGGTTAGACTACCTGAAGATACTCTACTATAATTAAAGCCAATTCTTGTGTAGCCAAGGAAAAAAGCTTTGAATGGTTTTAAATTATTGAAAATAATATTAATGAAAGTAGGAAAAACAACTTTTCATTTTTGAAAAAGGAGGCGTGAAGATTCCTCCTTCCTGTGCAGTCTCAGCGTGCTGTTCTCTGTTCTGTCTAGTCCACGTTTATTTCTCCTCTGCAGCTCTTTTCTAAAAGGGATGTTTGGTAAGAAAATTCACAACAAACAGGGAGTTATAGCTTTTAAAACACATTTTTCAGAAGAGATTCTTTTATTTTTTCATTAAGGAGATAAAGAAAATTTGCTTTTAGTTATAAAATCATAATCCTAAAAATTAACACCTGGGCAGTAGTAGTGCATGCCTGTAATCCCAGCTACGTGAAAAGGTGAGTGAGGGTTGCAAGGATGAGGCTTGGGTAACTTAGTGAGACCTTGTCCCCAAACAAAAGTTAAATAAACCGAGAGTGTAGCTCTGTGGTACAGCACTTACCTAGCAAGAGTGAGGCCCTAGCTTTAATTCCTAGTGCCATAAAAGAAAAAAATCAGGATGGGAAGGATGGTTATTTGTTTAAGAGCTGACTGCCCTCGCAGAGGACCCAGGCTCAATTCCCAGAACCCATAACCATCTGTCACTACAGTTCCAGGGGATCTGATTCCCTCTTCTGGCCTCTATGGCCATTGCCTGACATGAATGGGTGTACTTCCATACACTCATACACATAAAAAAGGAAGAAAAGAGAAAAAAAAAAATCAAGTTTTTGACAGACATAAAAGGAGAGGCTAAAATCACTGCCCACATCTTAACACATACACACACACACACCACACAGAGAATGAGGATAGGCTAAAAGCAAACAGTTTAATTTTTATTACACTTAAAAGAACATATACTGGTACACAGTCCAAGTCAAGAATGATCACAAGTAGCCCAGTAGATTAATGTGAACCAGAATGTCAAAAGGTCTAGATTCTAGACTCCATTTGAGTAAAAACAAAAACAAAAAAACAGCTTTAGAGCCTTGAATAAATTAATAATCACACTTATGTCTCAATTTCATCCTGCAAAAAGTGAAGGTATTGTGCCAGTGGGACGGCTCAGCAGATAAAGTCACCTGACAATGGGCTCAATCTCTGGGACCCACATGGTAAAAGGAGAGGACTCCAAGTTTTCCTCTGACTTCCATACATATTTGTGAAATGCACACCCACACACATGCACATAAAATACAAATGTAAAAAAAGAAACCTGAAGGTATTAACTCACAGTCTACACACTGTGCAGATAAAACAGAACACTGAAAGTTCAAGCTACAGATGGTGGTGAGCAGCCATGTGAGTGCTGAGAACTGAACCTAGGTCCTCTGCAAGAGCAGTAAGCAATCTTAACTGCTGAGCCCTCTCTCTATCCCCGTTATTTTTAAAGGCATTTTCCAAGAGAACTGACTCTACCTTAACGCTAAAGTTCTATGGGAGTGAAGGACAACAGAAGGATCCTAGCTTTTGGAAAATGAGAGTTAAGTACAGTTCTGCTCCAGGGATCTAGTAAGCAGGTTGGGCACGCCTAAGATCTCTTCCTCTTTGAATTAAAGCCTTGATTCTCTCATAAAATATAATTTCTAAGTAAACACTACACAAAATTAAAAGGCACAAATATAAAATACTACTTACAAGAACTTCATAGTCAGGGATGGTGTGAGTCCCAAGGCCTGTCCTATCAAAAGTTACTCTATAAGTAGCATTAAGAGTGTCCACAGCATCTATCTGTCCAGTAAACAGGCCATCGTGTACACCACGTAATCGCGCTGAGAAAAGAAGCAAAGATATTATGTTTGGGAAAGCAAAGAACTATCAAATACAAAACTGTTCTAAGCATGTAGTTTAAACCATGAAAAGCAGGGCCATTATCATTAGTTTTAAAATGAGTATGTATTTTATTTTAGGCTTAGAGAGGTAACAAAAAGTTATTCTTTTCAGCTAGGCATGGTGGGACATGCCATAAATTCCAGCACTTAGGAGGCAGAGACAGGACTGGTCTGCATAGTAAGTTTCAAGACATCAAGGGGCTACATAGTGAGATCCTGTCTCTGCCGCCACCCGCCCCCCATACACAAAGTTCTGTTTTTTTTGACAGTCTCCCTAGTCCCAGTCCACCAGAAGTCACTATGCGCACTAGGCTGGCCTCGATCTCACAGAGATCTGCCTGCCTTTACCTCCCAAGGGCTGGGATCAAAGGTGCATACCACTATGTCTGGTGTTGAAGTTTTTTTGTTTTGTTTTGAAAGCAAAACTACAGGGGCTGGAGAGATGGCTCAGTGGTTAAGTGCACTGGCTATTCTTGAAGAAGACCCAGGTTTGAATCCCAGCATCCACATGGCAGCTAACAATTGTCCAAAACTCCAGTTCCAGGGGATGTAACAGCCTCTTCTGTCCTCTGTGGGCATTGCACGACACGGATGCACTTACCTACATGCAGGCAATACACGCATACACATAAAATTAGTATTTTTTTAAAAAAAGAAAAACTACAAATGATAATTTGACATATTAATCAAATCATATAGCTACCTAATAGACCAAAGGCAGAAGAGAACTCCATTTGGAGTTAAAACTAACAAAGGAACTTAGGATGTCATCCTTCAAAGTGACACATTAGCAGCAAAAAAAGTTCTGTTTTAGATAGGGTCTCATGTATATCCCAAACTGCCCTAGAACTCACTATGTAGCTGAAGATGATCTTAAACTTCTGATCTTCCTGCCTCCACTTCCCAAGTACTTGGATTACAGGCATATGTTCTCATTTGCCTTCAAATGCTGTGACAAAACACCAATACCACCAACTTGGGGAGGAAAGGGTTTATCTTATCTTACATCTCCCAGGTCACAGTTCATCAGGAGTCCAAGGTAGGAACTCAGGGCAGGAACCTAGAGGCAGGAGCTGAAGCACAGGCCATGGAGGAATGCTGCTTACTAGCTTGTTCCTCTGGCCTGTGCTCAACCTGGTTTCTTTTTTTTTTAAATTTATTATTTTTATTTTTTTATGTATATGTATGTATTGCCTGCATGTAGGTAAGTGCACCCATGTTGTGCAATGCCTGCGGAAGACAGAAGAGGCTGTTGGATCCCCTCGAATTGGAATTATAGACAGCTGTTAGCTGCTGTGTGGGTGCTGGGATTTGAACCCCAGTCTTCTGAAAGAACAGCCAGTGTTCTTAACCACTGAGCCATCTCTCCAGCCCTGTCAACCTGGTTTCTTAAACAATACAGGACCACCTGCCCAGGGGTGACATTGCCCACAGTGGGCTGGGCCCTCCTACATCACTCAATAATCAAAAAGATGCCCACAGGCATGGTTACATACAGTCCAATGGAGGCAATTCACCATTTTAGGTCTCTCTACCCAGGGGTGTCAAGTTGACAACTAAAGCTATCCAGCACAACTGATCCCTTGTCAACTTGACATACAAACACATCACTATTGAACCACAACATTTCCACACATATATACATACACACACTCAATAAAATGTAAATAGTATATATACATATATATAATGTACTATTTAATAGAATATATATTCAATGTAAAGCTATTTAAAATAAAAGGATTGAGGGTTGAAGAGCTGGTGCAGCCATTAAAGGTTCAGGCTCACAACCAAAAAGACAATAGAATGATTGATTGATAAAAACACAATTGTAGGGGCTGGAGAGATGGCTCAGTGGTTAAGAGCACTGGCTGCTCTTACAGAGGACCCGGGTTCAATTCCCAGCACCCACATGGTGGCTACGAACCGTCCTTAACTCCAGTTCCAGGGGAATCTGAAGCCCTCTTCTGACCTCCATGGCACTGCACGACACGGGTGCACTCACGTACATGCAGGCAATACACTTATACACATAAAATAAAAAAAAATATATAAAAAAAACACAATTGTAGGAGACAAAATCATTACTCTGTCTCTGTCAGACCAATTAAAGGAAAAGGAATGCAGAGGATCTGAGTACCAAGGTTAGCTGAACACACTTGAGCACAGAGATGGACTTCTGGCTGTGGCAGCATAAAGAAGTTGGTGCTTCTTGGCTGAAAAGATGACCTGTGGTTGGGGGCACTGGTTGCTCTTGCAGACAACCCAGGTTCGAGTCCCAGCACCCACATGGCGGCTAACAACCATCTATAACTCCAGTTCCAAGGGACCCAATACCTTCTTCTGGCCTCCATGGGCACACTTACATACATGCAGGCAATACACTCATACACATAAAATAACTTTTAAAAAATTCACTGGAGGGCTCATCAATAGGGTTGAGACACAGAAACAAAGTCAGTGAGAATTTTAGACACGTTATAGCAAGTGTATAATCCTTATTTCTAAATTTTCAGATAAAACTATATGTATTTACTATGCAAAACATGTTCTGAAATGACACTGTGGAATGACTAAACCTAGTTAACGTATGTATTATCTTACATAATTATCAATTTTATGGTGAAAACAGATCCTCTTACCATTTTGGAAGAATATACAATTAACTACAGTCACCATACTGTATAACACATCTGCTTAATTAAATTTTGTACCCTTTGACCAACATCTCTACAACTTCCCTCCCCAACCAACTGGTCCCTGGTCCATGCACCATTCTACTCTATCCTAAAACCAATGTTAAGTACAATCACATATTATTTGTGTTTTTCTGCCTTGTTCCAATAATACTCAGGAAAGTAAAAATCAGACTCAGTTGCTGATACAATAGTCTCAAAAAACATCACTTTTTATACCAGATGCACATACTCCTCCCCAACAACCAGGCGATGCTGCAGTAATGGACGTTTTTTGATCATCCCTTAATGGAAGTCATTTCTAACACTACCTACTTCAGATTATTTCAGATCCCACAATCTGAAAGTCCAATCCACAAGACTGTGCCCCACCTCAGATGCCAGTCACAAGCCCAGGTGTTTCACCCATGCTTCTGAATGACAGTTATACACTAGGATTCTTAAAATCATCTCAGATTCACTAAGTGGCTCACAGAACTCAGGGAAACATATTTAGTGGTTTAATGTAAATTATATTTCAAAGGATGCAGATGAAGAGGTATGTATAGAGGAGGGATGGCCAGCTCTCATTCCTTCTCCAGGCATACTACTCTTCCTGGAACTTCCATGTGTTCATCTACCTGGAAGCTCTGTCCTTTAGGTTTTTATGCAGGCTTCACTGCATAGGCACAACTGATATGATCTGCCAACAGCAATCAATTTAACTTTTAACCTCTTTGCCACAGAGGTAGAGTACTAAGACTCTAAGTTCCAAACCTTCAGTCCTATCCATTCTGTGTCTTCCCTGGGGCTGCCATCCATCACTCACAAATTAGCATACTTTGGAGAATCCAAGGATTTTTAGCTAGTTTATGCAAGGAACAGCACAAAGATCAAGTACATATTTCACATCATCACACTGTCATATTTCACTTTAAACAATGCCTCACCTTCATCTGTGTTATTGCAAATGAAAACATTTTTTAAAAGACTGAATAGTTTATTGTATAAATATCTATTTTTTAACTTTTTAAATATTTTATTTATTATTTTTATTTTATGTATAGGAGTATATTGCCTGCACGTATGCGAGTGCATCCATGTTGTGCAATGCTGCGGAGGTCGGAAGAGGGTGTCAGTTTCCCCTGGAACTGGAGTTAAGTATGGTTTGTAGCTGTCATGTGGATGCTGGGAATTGAACCCGGGTCTGCAAGAGCAGTCAGTGCTCTTAACTGCTGAGCCATCTCTCCAGCCATGCATAAATATATATATATATATATATTCTTTTAAAAAAAGATTTATTCACCGGGCACGGTGACACACGCCTTTAATCCCTGCACTCAGGAGGCAGAGGCAGGCAACCTCTGTGAGATCAAGGCCAGCCTGATCTATACGGTCCAGGTCAGCTGGGGCTACATAGAGACCCTGTCTTAAAACATAAAAAACAAACAAAAAAGCCCAATAATTAGTTGATTAATCCAATAATTCTGTAAACCCCTTCAGTATAACTATTAACCCACTTGTTATGGCTTGTACTACATAAATTGTAATTTTACTTCATCAGATTATTAAAGAATAGTTTATAGCCAGGTAGTGTGGCTCATGCCTGTAACACCAACACTTGAGGAGAAGCAGAAAGATCAGGAGTTCAAGGCCATCCTAGGCTATACAGAGGAGTTTGAGGATAGCCTGAGCTACTTCAGATCCTGACTTAGAACAACAACAAAAACTTAAGGCTGTTGGGATTTTTCTTGCTTGTTTATAGCTTAGGCTGGTATCAAACATGAAATATAGCCAAGGATGGCCTTAAACTCCTGATCCTCCTGCCTTGTTTCTTGAATGCTGGGATAATGGATTCACAGACATGCATTACCACACAGGGCTTTTTTTGATTCCTGTTACAGTCCTGATCTTTGAACCTAGAGTCTAGTGCATGCTAGGCAAGCACTCTACAACTGAGTTATATTCCTAGCTATACATGAAGTTTTTGTTTTGTTTTGTTTTTTAATTTTTATTTTATGTAAATGAGTATACTGCCTGCTTGTATGTGAGTGCACCCATGTCATGCAATGCCATGGAGGTCAGAGGACTTCGGATTCCCCTGGAACTGGAGTTAAGGTCGGTTCATAGCTGCCATGTGTATACATGGAAGTTTTTATTATAATTTTCCTCTTTGTTATAAACTAAAGTGGGTATATAGAATCACATCAATTAAATCAACAAATTTTATACCTTATAAAAACTTTTTTGAAATAAAGTCTTGCTATATGTTATTCCAGCTGGCATGGAACTCGCAATTCTCTCCCAATTCTTTTGCCTTAGTCTCCAAAGTAACCGGGAGTTCAAATGTGTGCCACCACAAACCTGGCTCCCACCACACACCTTGGCTCCATCTTCTCCATCTTACATTGTTCTGAGAAAACTACCTACTGAATAATTTAGTTTTATTCAGTTATTAGAAATAGATTATTTCTATACTCAAATACAAGAGCAATGTTCTTTATGAATTAGCTAGACGAGGCTCATTAGGAAAGGAAAACATATAACGTGGAAGCAAAAGAGAATAATTAAAACTTTTTGTTCAATTTTTATTTTTTTGGTCTTTTTGAGACAGGGTCTCCCTGTAGCCCCAGCTGTCCTAGAACTCACCTTGTAGGCCAGGCTGGCCTTGAACTCAGAGATCCGCCTGCCTCTGCCTCCCGAGTGCTGGGATTAAAGGTGTGCGCTACCATGCCTGGCTTTCAATTTTTATTTATTTATTTATTTATTTGTTTATTGGTTTTTTTGAGACAGGGTCTCCCTGTAGCCCCAGCTGGAACTCACTATGTAGACCAGGCTGGTCTTGAACTCACAGAGAGCCTCCTGCCTGCCTCCCGAGTGCTGGGATTAAAGGCGTGCGCTACCACGGCTGGCCTCAATTTTTATTTTTATTTTATGTGATGTGTACAAGTGTTTTGTCTCCATGTAAGGGTACCACCTGTGTGCAATATCTACGGTGGACAGAAGAAAACTCTATATCCCCTGGAACTGGAGTAATGGAAAGTTGTTAGCCGCCATGTGGATGCTGGGCACCAAATCTAGGTCCTCTGTAAGAGCAGTCACTGCTCTGTTTTGGGGTTTTTGTTTTTTTTTTTTGTCTTTTTGAGACAGGATCTCCCTGTAGCCCCAGCTGGCCTGAAATTCACTATGTAGACCATACTGGCCTTGAACTCATAGACCTCTGCCTCTGCCTCCGCTTCCTAAGTGCTGGGATTAAAGGCCTGCAACACCAGGCCTGGCTAACAACCAGTACTCTTAACTGCTGAGCCATTTCTCTAAGCCCCCCAAAAAAATTTTTTTTAAATTTTCATTATTTTTAATTATGTGCATGCATATGTTTGTGTGTGGACTTGTACATGTGACTACAGTGGCTGTGGAGACCAGAAGCATTGGATCTCCTTGGAGCTGGAGTTACAGGCAGCTGTGAGCCACCCAATGTGGTACTGGGAATGGAACTTGGGTTCTTTGTTAGAGAAGTATGTGCTCTTAACCATCGAGCCTTCCCCCAGCCCCCAATTTTAAAAATTTAAATTTAATTAAAGAATTTAAAAAGTAAAAAATAAGGCTGGGCATGGTGGCACATGCCTGTAGTCCCAGTACTTAAGAGGCAGAGGCAGGCAGATCTCTGTGAGATTGAGGCTAGCCAGGCCAGCTGGGGATACAGGGAAACCCTGTCTCAAAAACCAACCAACCAACCAACCAAGACCAAAACAAAAGTAAAAAATAAAATTTAAACAATAAACTATACTTATTCTGATGAATCTTAAATCTCATCTTTGTAACTATTTATTATTATTTTTTAATTTTATTTTTATGTGTATGAGCATATTGCCTGCATGTAGGTAAGTGCACCCACATCATGCAATGCCCACGGAGGACAGAAGAGGCCACTGGATCCCCTGGAACTGGAGTTAGGGACAGTTGTTAGCTGCCATATCGGTGCTGGGATTCAAACCTGGGTCTTCTGCAAGGACAACCAGTGTTCTTAACTGCTGAGCCATCTCTCCAGCCCCCAGCAATTAATTTTTTTAATTAATTTCTTTTTTTGTGGTACTGGGGATTAAATCATTACTCATGTGAGGTGCCACTAAGCTATATCCCTAGCCTTGATTAATTTTCATTTTGAGACGAAGTCTTGCTATGTAGCCCAAGCTGGCCTCGGTTTCCCAAGGAGCTGGAATTATTACCACCATGCCTGGCTACATTAGCTTATATTGTAGTAGATGTAACTTTGAACTCATATTTCTTTTTCTTTAATGTATGAGTGTTTGCTGCATGTATGTGTACCACATGCATGTCTGTTGCCCACAGATGCCAGAAAAGGATCTCAGGTCCTCTGAAACTAGAATTATTGACAGTTGTGAGATGCTATGTGGGTGCTGGGACCCGAACCTGGATCCTCTGCAAGAGCAGCAAGTAGTCTTAACTGCTGAGGCATCTCTCTAGTCCACTTGTGTATTTCTTTACTAATGAGTTCAAGTAATGGTCCACACAGGAAGAAGAGTTAGCAACTATATTAAATTGCTACAGAACTACAGTTAAGCTTCCTTAATTTCTAAAATGCTTTATTAATTAATTATTTAACGTGTATGAGTGTATTCCCTGCATGTATAAGTGGACCCATGTCTTGCAATGCCTGCAAAGTCAGAAGGCGGCATCTGATCCCCTGGAACTGGGGAGTTAAAGAGTTAAAGATGGTTGTTAGCTGCCGTGCGGGTGCCGGGAAACGAACCCAGGTCCTCTGCAAGAACAGCCAGTGCTCTTAACCACTGAGCCATCTCTCCAGCCTCGATAAATTTCTTTTCTTTCTTTCTTTTTTTTTTTTTAAGTATTTTCCACTTCTTTTTAAATTTTATTTTTATGCGTGTATTGCCTACATGTAGGTAAGTGCACCTGTGTCGTGCAATGCCTGCAGAGGTCAGAAGATGCTGACAGATCCCCTGGGACTGGCATTATGGACAGTTGTTGGCTGCCATGTGGGTACTGGGATTCGAACCTAGGTCTTCTGCAAGAACAACCAGTGTTCTTAACTGCTGAGCCATCTCTCCAGCCCCCATCCTCTAAATTTCTAATAAACATAATCTTGGCTTCAGCTTTCAGGTGATGATAATAAGCTTGTCTCCACTTACCTGTAACTTTGGTTCCAATAACCAAGGGTAGAGGAATTTCATCTGGGAGATCTTTAAATTGTGAAACATCTGCAACTTTCCTTTGTTGTAAGAGCCTGATTTTCTGCCGTTTCTGTTTTAATGCTGATCTCTCTTCCTCAAAAAATGCAGAAGAACATCTAGAATAAATTACAGAAATCACATAAACTAAGCCAGGTGTGGTACTGCACACCTGTAATCCTAGCACTTGGGATGTATAATTTAGCACATAAATTATAAATGTTTGAAGTATACAATTAGATAAACTTTGAGGAGCTGGAGATGACTCATGGTTAAAGTGCTTGCTGTGTAAGCAAGAAGATGAGCATTTGGATTTCCAGAACTCACATAAATGCTGGCTGGGTGTGGCAGTCCACCTTTAAGTCCAGCCTGGGAAGGTGGAAACATGGTATCCCTGAAACAAACTGGCTGGCAAGACTACCATATGGGCCAACTCTGGGTTTGACCTCAAAGAGTAAGATGAAAGGGCAATGAAGAAGACTCCCAGCTTCAACTTTGGGTATCCACATATATGTCCACACATGTGAACATGCATACACACACACCACACACACATAACACGTGAAAAGAAAAGCCAAAAAAGGGTTGGCAAGGTGACTCAGCAGGTAGAGGCACCTGCTACCGAGCCTGATGATCTGAGATTGATCCCTGAAACCCACATGGTGGAATGGAAGGAGAGAACCTAACTCCCATAAGTTGTTCACCCCTCTCCACATGTGCTGTAACATGTGCAAACCTACACCCATCAGGCCACCTACTCCTCCTTTAGACTGCTCCATTTCATATCCTGACTTCTCAAGCAACCATTAGGTTGCTTTGTGTCATTACAGCAGTTTCTATCTTCTAAATGTTATATAAATGAAACCATCCGCTATGCACTCTTTTGTCAGGCTTCTTTAATTCAGTGCAATTATTCTGAGTTTTACCCTGTACCAATGGCTCATTCCTTGTATTGGCAATTTTTCTCTGTATAAACGCATTACAATTTATTCATTCATTCAACTGTTAGACAATTGGGCTGCTTCCCATTTTTTGCTATTACAAAGTTGCTATGTATATCAGTGTACCAGTTTTTACATAAACATATCCTTTCATTCTACTTCCTCTGTGAGTATCAAACTATTTTCCAAAAGTGTGGTACCATTTTCTATTCCTACCATCAGTTTATGAAGAGTTCAATTGCCCCACACCCTCCCCAACATTTGGTATGCTCAGTCTTATAAATTTTGGACACTATTGTTGAAAGTTTACATTTCCTGAAGGACTAATGATGGCGTACATCTTCCTATATGCTTATTTGACATCTATAGTGAAGCATCTATTCAAATCTTTTGCCGATTTGTTAAATGAGCTGTGTGGGTCTTCTTCCTCAATTCTGAAGTGTTCTTCGTACATTCTGGATATAATATGCATACTTCTGCCAGCTTGATTGTATTTAAAGAGTATTTTTGGATAGTTGATACATTCATATGGCTTCTATTTAAAAGGTTCAAAGGCACTGAAAACTAATACCTGTGTTCCTCTGTTAGCTTGTTAGTTTCCCAGAGGCTTGTTATGGTATATTTCTTATGTACTCTTCACTGATACCTTAGCTGTACACAAGCAAAAATTGCATACGTTCACCTCCTATTTTCTCAAATAGCAATAATATGCAGTTAGATTATTTTGCTTTCTTGGTTTATCTTAGCAATTACTTCTATTGTTAATTCTTGGGGTTCTTTTAAGAGACAGAGAGGACGGGTGCCAGGGATGTTATTGTTATTAATATTGCTATATGTACTAAGTATCTATTTCACCATACCAGTTACCTCAACATTTTACAATTTTATGAACACTGTCACTCTGAGAGTTAAAAAACAGTATCTCATCATACTTTTATATCCAAATCCCTGAGTAAAACTGAATATTGTTCACGTTTAGAAGAGGCATCGTTTTTTAATCCCAGCACCTGGGAGGCAGAGGCAGAGGCAGGAGATTACTGTGAGTTCAAGGCTAGCCTGGTCTACATATCAAGTTCCTATGAATTGTTCACTTACACTCACATTTATTATGGCTATCTGACCTTTTCTCATTCATCTATAGGAATTTTTTTTTTTTTTTTTTTTTGTCTTTTTGAGACAGGGTCTCCTCGTAGCCCCAGCTGTCCTGGAACTCACAACGTAGACCAGGCTGGCCTTGAACTCACAGAGACCCGCTTGCCTCTGCCTCCCAAGTGCTGGGACTACAGGCGTGCACCACCACGCCCAGCTAGGAATTTTTAAATACATATAGAAAATTAGCCCTCCCTACCCTAAGTTTCAGATATTTGTGTCATTGTCTTTTGTCATTTTGTTTTCTGGACATGTAAGATTTTCTTCTTTAAAATTTATTTATTATTTTTATGTTATGTGTATGAGTGTATTGATACATGTTAAGTGGACCCGTGTTGTGCTATGCTGGCAGAGGTCAGAAAAGGGCACCAGATCCCTTGAAACTGCAGTTATGGACGGTTGTTAGCTGCCACAGGGATGCTGGGAATTGAAACCAGGTCCTATATAAGAGTAACCACTGCCCTTAATTGCTGAGCCATCCTCTCCAGCCTCCCTCCTAGCTTTTAATCTACTAGAATGTTTTCAAATCAAGACTATACATTACATAGTATTTAAAACTATAAATTATACAGTATCTAAAACTGTTTTTCCTCTAGCAGTTTCACTGTTTCATTTTTTTAAAATATTTAAATTTGCTGAGCATGGTGGTACACACTTTTAATGCCAGCACTTGGGAGGCACAGGCAGGCAGATCTCTGTGAGTTTGAGGCCAGCCTGGTCTACACAGTGAGTTCCTGGCCAGCTGGGGCTACAGGGAGACCCTGTCTCAAAATGAACAACAACAACAACAACAACAACAAATTTGAAGTCCTCAATCCTTTCCTAACTTTTTGCTAATGTGAGATAGGAGACCAACTTGCTTTTTCTCTGGATTGTTACACAGTAGTCTCAATTTCCATAATCAAAAACAATCAATTCTCCACCGTCTCCATGTAGCTGAGAGACATTCCCTTAACTCCCAGAGATCTATGGGATTGTACTGAATTGTCTCTCATTCATCTTTCCCTTTTTGTACCCTTCTCACTCCGTTTTAATCATAACCACTTATTAATTTGTGTTCTAGATTTTTTATTGTTAGCCTTAATCGTAGTGGTTACTGCAATACTTCAGCTAATAGCTGATAAATTTTGTCATTTCTTTGCTATTTTAGACTTTTTATACTTGACTTCTCTAACAAATATAAATTAATTTTTGTTTTGAGATAGAGTCTCACTGTTTAGCTTTGCCTGTCTAGAATTCTCTATGTAGACCAGGCTGGTCTCAATCTCATAAGAGATTCACCTGCTTGTCTTCTGTAATTAAAGATATGCACCACACCTTTAATGTAAGTATGAATTTTAGGATTAACCCATTGTAAAAAACAAATGTGGGGAGGGGCTGGTCACAGAACACTTTCCACTTGTATAACATGATCCAGATCCTGAGTTTGACTTGGAGTATGGAGACTGAAGAACAAACAATGGAGGAAGAGGCCATTTTTTGGGTATTTTTTAACTTACAGATGAAGTTAAGATGTTTAATCTTCTTTTCCAAGATCATGTGTGTCTTTATATTTGCTTGTATGTATTATACATGTTTAAATTCCATCCTAGCAGTTTAACTTTTTCCCCCTCCCTTAAAAAAAAATCTTCACTTACTTTTTTTTGCTTTTGCTTGCATGTAAGTGCACCATATGTGTGCAGTGCTTGTGGAAGCCAGAAGAGGGCGTCAGATCCATTGGATCTGAAGACTATGAGCAGTCATGTGGGTGCTGGGAATTTAACCCAGGTCCTCAGCAAGAACAGCCAGTGATCTTAACCACTGAGACATCTCTTCAGTCCCTTCCTTCTTGTTTATACTGTGACTAAATTAAGTTTCATCTATTGATTCTTTTAAACTTTTACATTTATTTGTGCTTGTGTGTGTGTGGCATGTGACATGGTGCATATGTGAAAGTCAGAGGACAACTTGTGGGGGTTGGTTCTCTACTTCCTAGGGATCAAGCTCAGACTTGGCAGCTAATGTCCTTATCTGCTAAGCCATCTCACTGGCCTACACCAAGTAAAATTTGAAATTAGGGTATTTCTGAAAGTTTATTGTATTAATAATTTGTATTATATCTTGACTTCCTTAAGAAAAGGAAAAAAATTACAAATTTTTATTTTAAAAGACTTTATGACATTGTATACATATATGCAATCTCAAAGAATAAAAAACTATTTAAAAAGAGAGGAAGGAGAAGTGAGATGGCTCAGTGACTAAAGGTGCTTGCCACCAAGCAGGATGACCTTAGTTTCATCCCCAGAACCCACATGGTACAAAGAGAGAATCAAAAACCAACTCCTACAAGTTATCCTCTGACCTTCATATGTGCACCATAGCACTCACATGTTCACACACACACACACACACACACACACACAAATTTTAAAAAGCAACACAAGCTGGGCATGGTGACGCACACCTTTAATCCCAGCACTCAGGAGGCAGAGACAGGCAGAGCCTCTGTGAGTTTGAGGCCAGCCTGGTCTACAGAGTGAGTTCCAGCTGGAGCTACAGGGAGACCCTGTCTCAAAAAGAGTACATATAGGGGCTAGAGAGATGGCTTAGCAGTTAAGAGCACTGGCTGCTCTTGCAGAGACCTGAGTGCAAACCCCAACACCCACACGGCAGCTAACAATTGTCCATAGCTCCAGTTCCAGGGGATCCAACACCCTCTTCTATCCTCTGTGTCCACTGGGTGACACAGGTGCTCTGCATACATATAGGCAAAAACATTCATACACATAAAATAAAAATAAACCAAAAAAAATTTTTAATGTCCATATAACCTTATAGCTTCCTTAAATATTTTCCAGGACTTGTAAACATATTTTTTGGGGGGTGGGCTAGGGAATGTAGCTTAGTACATGCAGCTTGGAGTACCTGCATGAGGTCCTGGATTAAATTTCTAGTACTGCCTAAGAAAAACAGGGTGTGGGGGACTGGAGAGATGGCTCAGCAGTAAAGAACACTGGCTGCTCTTTCAGAGGACCTGGGTTCTATTTCCAGCACCCACACAGCACCTAACAACCGTCTGTAACTTCCTTCAGTTCCCGAGGACCCAATGCCCTCTTCTGACCTTCACAGGCACTGCACTACATGGGTGCACTTGCATGCATACAGACAATACACTCATACACACAAAATAAACATTTAAAAAATAAAAACAAAACAAAACTGGGAGGTGAGATGGACATAGAAAGACAGTAATTTAAAACAGTAATATTATGTTAAAATATGCTAAAAACCTATGAGCTGAAAAAAGTGAAACTACACATTTAATTCTTAAGTATGAAAAACACTGTGTGCTGAGGGGCACTTATTCCTCTGAGGGGCGGGACCTGCTGTGGAGAATTGGCTGCGGAGAGTTAGCTGCGGTGGGAGGAGTGTAGGCGCCACCTTGGCAGCAGCTGTGCTGAAAAAATGGTCCTGGGATGTGAGAGGGGGTATTTAACTACCTGGGGTGAGACCACAGGCCCACGAGGCATGGACGAAAGACAGCATGTCCTGTCTAATGGAGACTGTGAGGGGGGCGTGGAAGTACTCTGCCTTTGTAAGTTACTCTATTTCCCCTACCCAGGATACAAACTATGAAAAAATTCAGATAGAGATGTGTTATATGGTTTGTCTCATAGCGCCAGGAGCAAGGGACCCTAAGGGAATTCTGGCGACACACCTATAGCTGGGCATGGTGGCGCATGCCTTTAGCCCCAGCACTGGGGGGCAGAGGCTGGCAGATCTCTGTGAGTTCAAGGCCAGCCTGGTCTACATAGTGAGTTCCAGGACAGCTGGGGCTACAGGGAGACTTTGTTTCAAAAAGATCAAAAAAAAAAAAAAAAAAAAAAAGCACTTACATTATTCATTAAAAGATTAAAAGGATATATTTAACATTTGATTATTGTGTTTCGTTACTACTGGTGGCAAAGATCAAACAGTCAAGGTAGTAATGATACCATCAATTATTTACTGACTTTAAACAAAAAACTGTTTTTACCTGCGTGGTTTTCCCATTAGCCGTCTGATTTTTCCCCATTCTACTCTTGTTAATTTTCTTGTTTTCAAATTAGGAAAAGATTCCTTTAGACATACACAGAAGTCGTTATCGCCTTCAAAAAGTGGTCTGCAAAACAGAAATGGTATTTTATTGGTTCCTATATAACAATGTTTTACTTTCTTAAAAGAAATAAAATCCAAAATACACAATCCAAAGTTGGACATGGTGGTACATGCCTTTAATTCTGAGATGTGAAGGTGGGAGGATCAGGAATTCAAGGACAGCCTCAGCTACATAGATGTTTGCAACTACACAGTTACATGGCAAATTTTGGGTCAACCTGGGCTACATGAGATCCTTCCTCAAACAAACAAACAAACAAACATTCTAATTTTTCACAGCATACTAATCACAACATGCCAAACTTCTATTTCCAAACCATACAGTAAGTGAAATTCAAGAGGCTGGAGGTAGGTCCTTACTGTGGGAATTATCTAAAGTGTGAAAGTTACTCCAGAAGTCATTGTACTGGAGGGTCCAAGAGATGCTGTCTTTTGTTCAAATTTCCATCTGGGTCCTCCTCTGAGAGGCCAGGCTGGTTCTGGCATTACAGTTGATAAAGACAAACAGTATTAGCTTACAAAATATCTTTGTCCCAAAGGTAATGTCATCACCAAGGAGTCCTCTCCTCTTGGGGTTTAAGACAGTCTTACTACACTGGCGAACTCTAAAGGTTGGGGTAGTTTGGGAGATTCCCAGGAGAACTGGATCACATTAGGACTCCATGGGAATTCTCTGAAGACCATGGAAAATTTCTACTCAGGACTTTGGGAAATGCAGAATCCAGTCTTAATTAACAACAATACATAAATGTGAATATCCATGAAGTTCACAAGCTTTGTTTGGAGCAAGCAACTGTTTTTGGAGGACAGAAGGGAAGCATTGATAAATAGCCAGCAAAGCAACCACCAATATCTGGCCCAGGAGACATAGAAGAATCACGGTTTTTCCTCAATAAGTCTATTGTCTAGCTATTGGATTTCAACCAAATCTCTATGACCAACTCAAGTATTTCTGTACAGTTAAAGCACTTAAGCATTAGGCCCCAAATACAAAGACTCTTTATTCTATAGCAGTACTTGTTAATTAGAATACAGAAATTATACCTTTTTTTGTTTTTGTTTTTGAGACAGGGTATCTCACTCTGTAGCCCTGGCTGGCCTGGAACTCACTTGGTAGACCAGGGATGGCCTCAAACTAACAGAAATCCACCTGTTTCTGCCTCCTGGGTGCTGGAGTTAAAGGCATGCACCACCACACTCAGCTTATACTTTCATTTAATCTTTTCGCAAAATGTGTAACTTCTCATGGGGAAGGGGAAGGAGATAGAGAGCTGTAAGAAATATCAAAGAAACTGGAGTACAACAGCAGAAAAATGAAAAATGAACTCTATGCTGGGTATGGTGGCACATACCTGTAGTCTCAGCTAATTAGCTGGAAGCTGAGGCAAAAGGATCACTTGAGCCTAAGAGTTCAAGATAAGCCTGGACAAAGCAAGACCTTGTCCCCAAAACAAAGGATTTAAGGAAAAAAACAAACAAAAAAAAAAACACCAAAGGCCAAAGCAGACTTACAGAAAAGGTGGGAATATAGTAACATTTGGAAAAAAAAAAAAATCTCATTTTCAGTTCATGCAATATTAATGTTATAAGCAATGGTACATACTTGTCTATATTTGAATAGAACCACTCATATATGCACCATTTATGTGCTTTGGGAAGCTTGAGGAGGTTCCGTAATCGAAAACCAATTTTCTGTGAAGCTTTCTTATCTGGTGTTGACATTGTTGTTTTTTTTTTTTTTTAAAAAAAAAAAAAAAAAAAAAAAAAGATTATAGCTCCATTAAGTAAAAATAAATATTTATAATTCTGAATACATTCATAAAAAAGGTATACTTAAGTACTCAAAAAGATTCAATAATATTCAACATGGAATTTTTTAGCAAACTTCCTGATTATTTCTTATAAAGTTAAAGCCTTGTGCTGGAGAGATAGCTAAGAGGCTAAAGTTGCTTGGCCACCAAGCTTGATGACCCGAATTCAATCCTTGGAACCCACGTGGTAAAAGGAGAGAACTGACTCCCACAAGTTGTCCACACACACACACACACACACACACACAAAGTATAAAAGAGTTAAAGCCTCAAATAAAAATAATAAAATATTAAACCAAAAAAAGAAAAAGAAATTCATGAAATATCAATCACATGTATGGATTTTGTTTTTTATTTTTAAAATTTTTTTGTTTTATGTGTATGAGTGTTTTGCCTACATGCACATAAGTGCAACTGTCATGCAAGGCCCATGGAGGCCAGAAGGGAGTATTGGGTCCTCTGGAACTGGAGTTAAGGACAGTTGTTAGCTGCCACATGGGTGCTGGGAATCAAACCCAGGTTCTCTGCAAGAGCAGCCAGTGCTCTTAAATACTGAGCCATCTCTCCCGCCCCTATTTTTTTGTGTTTTTTTGTTTGTTTGTTTTGAGACAAGATCTCACTGCGTAGTCCTTGCTGGGCTGGAACTCACTATGTAGACCAGGCTGACATGTATGGATTTTAAAAATCCTTAATAGGCTGGGTGTGGTGGTGCAAGCCTTTAATCCCAGCACTTGGGAGGCAGAGGCAGGCAGATCTCTGTGAGTTCAAGGCCAGCCTGGTCTACAGGGAGACCCTGTCTCAAAAAGACAAAAAAAAAAAAAAAAAATCCTTAATAAAAAGAAACTACCAGACAAGCACCATTAGAACATCAAAAGAATTCGATGCAACACAGTAGAATTCACACTAAGAATACCAGAATGGGCCAGTATTAGGAAACTATTAGTGAAATTCATAATTATTAATAAACTAAACCAAGAAATGGTATATGATCATTTCCACTGACGGTAAAATGTCTGAATACTATTCATTAAAACAAAAACAAAACAAAAATCTCTTAATAGAACAGAAACACATGAGATGACTGGGGAAAAAAATTACCAAAAATTAAACAATAGTGCTAACGTAGTACTCTGAGTAAAATTTATAGGCTTTGTGTGTATGTGTACACATAGACCTGTGTGGGGGAAGTGTGTCCATCTATGTGTGTGTGTGTGTGTGTGTGTGTGTGTGTGTGCACACGCATGTAGGCCAGAGGTAGATGTTCAGTATCTTCTTCTATTTTTCTTCATCTTATTTTCTCAGACAGGAGCTTACTGATTGGCTAGACTGGCTGGCCAGGTGTACAGTGCAAGGCCCAGCCATTTACATGGTTTCTGGGGATCTGAACTCAGGTCCTTAAGATTGTGTAGCAAAATTTTTTTCCATTGAGCCATTTCCCTAGTCCCCAATTTATAATTTTTTTAAAAAAAAAGTTTATTTTTATTTTATGTGTATGAGTGTACTGCCTGCATACATGTAAGTACACGTGTCATGCAATGCTCATGGAGGTCAGAAGAGGGTGCTGTATCTCCCCTGGAACTGGAGTAATAGACAGTGGTTAGCCACCATGTGGGTGCTGGATCCAGGTCCTCTGCAGGAGTGGTCAGTGCTCTTAACCTCTGAGCCATCTTTCCAGGCCCACCAATTTAGTCTTTAACTTTAAATCTAACCTTTATTAGAAAAGAAAGCCCTGGCAAAATGGCTCACCGAGTAAGGTACCTACTGAAAAGCCTGAGTTCAATCTCCAGGACCCACAGAGTGGAAGGATTCCTGCAAGTTGTCCTCTGACCTCCACACACATGCCCACACACGCACGCAAAATAAATACATAAATAAATGTAAAAGTTTTTTTTTAAAGAAAGATCTTTAATAAACAACCTACCTACTTTTTTGCCAGTAACACATTACCACATATATACACAAACTTGTAAAAAGAAAAACTACAGTAAATCCTATGATGTACTCTCTATGAATACATATTTAAAGTTCTGTTTTTGTTGGTTTTGATTTGTTTTTGAAACAGGGTCTCAGGATGTGATCCTGGCTGGCCTGGAACTTGCTATATAGATCCCGTTGGTCTTGTGTCAATCCTTCTGCCTCTGCCTCTCAAGTTTTTGGATAACAGAAATGCACATATGTAAAACTGTTCTTTTTAAAATAAATTCCATGTATTAAAAAAATTTCCATTTATTTACTTATTTTGTGTGTGGAGGTAAAAGGTCAACTTGAGAGAGTAGGTTATACCATGTGGGTCCCAGGGATTGAATTTAGACGGTCAGGCTTGGCGGCATGTGTCTTGCCTGTTGAGCTATCTCACTGGCCCCACATATATAAAGCTTTAAAAGCACACTTTAAAAGTATAAGCAAAACTACAGTGCCTACCTAACTGGATGAGAAAGATATCGCAAGGCCCAGCCATTTACATGGTTTCTGGGGATCTAAACTCAGGTTCTCAAGATTGTGTAGCAAGAATTTTTACATAGTAATGGTCTCACTAAGTACACCAAGCTGGCCTTGAACTCACACAGATCTGTCTGCTTCTGCCTCCCAAGTGCTAGAACTAAAGATATGTAATTGGGCATGGTGGCACAGGCCTTTAATCCCAGCACTCTAGAAGCAGAGGCAGGTAGATCTCTGTGAGTTCAAAGGAGCCTGTTCTACATAGTGAGTTCCAGGCCAGCTGTGGCTACAGGGAGACCCTGTCTTAAAAACAAAAAACTGAGAACTTTTTTTCCCTGATATTTGGAGAAGGTTGGATACTAACACTGTGAACACACAGTAGCCTTGGTTGGTTGGCTGGCTATGTCTGTACATCTCTTTGGGAGTAGATTCTTCTAGGTGGACCCTAGAAGTCCTGGAGTGGACATGGAAGAGGGCTGAGATTTTAAAGATGTGAATGGCCAGGACATGAAAAGTTCAAATGCTGGTTCTGGGCAGGAACAAGCTGAGACTTGTGTGTCCTGAGATAATAGAACTGACATCTTTTTAAAGTGCCATCAAGCCTAGCTATAAATTTTTTTTTTTTTTTGGTCTTTTTTGAGACAGGGTCTCCCCAGTAGTCCCAGCTGGTCTAGAACTCACTATGTAGACCAGGCTGTCCTCGAACTCACAGAGATCTACCCGCCTCTGCCTCTCCAGTGCTGGGATTAAAGGCGTGCTCCACCACACCCGGCTTAATTTTTTATTTTAGAAAAATTGTGTATTGCAGGGCATGGGAGCACATGCCTTTAATTTCAATACTTGGGAGCTAGATAGATCAGCTTGGTCTAGTAGCAAGTTCTAGACCATGTCTCAAAAAAGAAAAGTTGTATATCTTCTGAAAAGTTGCAAAGATGATACAGTGTTTCCAAATGTACTTTACCTAGCTTTCCCTAATGTTATCATCTTATACAACTCCAGGAATGTATTTATCAAAACTGTACAGTACTAGTACTTACAAACTATTTATATTTCACTAGTTTTTTTTCATTAATATCCTTTTCTGTTCTAGAATTTGAGTTAGGATATACTCTGTTTAGAAAAGTATTGTTATTATTTTTAGACAGACTCTCACTGTGTAGCCCTGGCTGGCCTGGAACCTGTGACAATTTTCCTACTTAAGTCTCACCAGTCTTGGGATTACAGTTTATATGCCACCCTATCAGCCTTAGAAAATTAAATTTTTAATATAAAAATAAAAATATTTTAGACTATTTACTTTTTATCATTATTGTGCATATGTATACATGATGTTTTTGTGGGTGTTGGCATGTGTGTACCACAGTGTGTTTGTGGAGGTTAGAAGATAGCTTTTAGGAGTTCTCTCCTTCCACCATGGGATCCAGGAATTGAACTCAGGAAACCAAGATTGTGTGGTGTTTTTGATCCATTCAGTCATCTCAATGCTCCCAAAATACGCAAGTCATAAATCGTGCTGTTTCTCTCTATGGAGTTAGTTACCCAGATTTTTTTTTCTTTTTAAAGCAGGGTCTCCCTGTAGCCCCAGTTGCCCTGGAACTCACTATGGAGACCAGGCTGGCCTTGAACTCACAGAGATCCGTCTGCCTCTGCCTCCCAAGTGCTGGGACTACAGGCGTGTGCCACCATGCCTGGCTCCCAGATATTTTTTAATATTTTAATTATATTTTATTTTATGTGTATGCATGTATTACGTGCATGTAAGTAAGTGTACCCATGTCGTGCAATGCCTGAGGAGAACAGAAGAGGCTGTCAATCCCCTGGAACTGGAGTTACAGACAGTTGTTAGCTGCCATGTGAGTGCTGGGATTAGAACCCAGGTCTTCTGCAAGAACAGCAAGTGTTCTTAACTGCTGAGCCATTTCTCCAGCTCCTTAAAATTAGTTCTTTAGTGAGAGTGGGGGTGGAGGCTTGGCATACACCTTTAATCAGACGCAGAGGCAGGCGTATCTCTGTGAGTCTGAGGCCAGCCTGGTCTACATAGTGAGTTCCAGGCCAGCTGGGGCTACAGGGAGACCCTGTCTCAAGAAAAAGAGCCCCCCCAAAATTAGTTTTTTAAAATTTATTTTTATTTTACGTATGTAAGTACACCCATGTTGTGCCCACAGAGGTCAGAAGAGGGTGTTGGATCCCCTGGAACTAGAATTAAGGACAGTTGTCAGCAGCCATGTGGGTGCTAGGAACTGAATCCAGGTCCTCTACAAGAGCAGTCAATGCTCTTAACCAACCACTAAGCCATCTTTCCTGCACCATAACGACATTTTCTAAGTTAGTAGAACAGTTGCTGAGGGCCAGGCCTGGTGGTGCACGCCTTCAATCCCAGCACTCAGGAGGCAGAGACAAGCAAATCTCTGTGAATTCCAGCCAGGGCCACATAGTGAGACCCTGTCTCAAAAAACAAGTAACAAAACAAAAGTTGCTGAGCAGCAATACTAATCAAAAGAATGCTTTCAAAATGTAACAGAATAGCCGGCGAATCCCAGCACTCCGGAGGCAGAGGCAGGCTGAGTTCGAGGACTGCCTGGTCTATATAGCAAGTTCCAGTATAGCAACTGGGGCTATAGGGAGACCCTGTCTCAGTATTAAAAAAAAAAAAAAACAACTTTATCATATTGAGTAATCACTTCCTTTATCATATTGAATAATTACTTCCTTTCACAAGAAACAAAATTCACATACACGTACCTGTGGGGTCATTGCAACCCTCTGGTTTCTTTTAGGTGACTTTGTATTTATTTGTCTGTCATCTTCATCAGAAAAGAGTCGACTTCTTTTTGAATTTCTGAAAGGCTAATGATAGATTTTTTTTTCTCTTTAATCTAATGAATGCTTTTTCATTTTTGTTCCAAAATGCAATCTATCTCTTGAAAATACAGCCAACTCTGGATTATCACCAGCATGGAAGGACTACTTATGAGTAACAAAAAGCCAAATGTACACAAACTTCTATCAAAGTACTTAATAGATACTTCTGCAATTTGCTTATAAGGGAAACACCCAGCTGATGATTAATCTAAAACCAGAACCCTCATTTCTGTAGGACACTGGCAGCCTTGCATGATGAAGACAAAAGAGTAAATTCTGGAAATTCCAGTTCAAATTCTCTTGGTTAACATCAGTGGGTATTACATGATGACTGCTGCATAGGATTGGGCTAGACAAGGACATTAAATCACTGTTGAAGACTACGTCTATTATATTAACACTAGATCTGACGTAAAAAATTATTTGCCAAATTTCCAACTATAAATTAAAGTCCATGATACATATAATTAGTAACTATCTTTAGAACTCAAAAGTATGTTAAGTATCAGAAGTACAGAATACACTATAAGAGCTATATGAAAAAAAAAAGTATATAGTCTACCTTAGATTTAGAGGTTTCCTGAATACTGAGAAAAAGAAATAATATCCCAGTTGAGGCCCCTATCTTCTCCCACCACTCAAGTCAGATCTTTATGCATATGGAAGGGAGACAGGTGTAGAGGACTAACAACATATAGACAGTGTCCAACTGAGCCAAGACTAAAACCTTCAACTCACTCAGTCTCAACATTTCACGCCCCGAGAGTTAAGCCTCTTCTCTCCAAGCCCTGTTTCCATGACCTCAGGCAGAAGGGAAGAGGACTAACAGTAATGGAGCTGGCAGAGGAGTGTCCCTCCTGTCTACAATTAAATGCTCCCTGGGACACCCCTCACATCTGTGCCAGCTCTAGGCTTGTTCCCTGGCTCACCCTAGGGCTTGCTACACCATGGCTGAGGAGTAAGTTTCTAAAACTGTCAGTCAAGCGACTATGTACTCATCTTGACTTGTTACCTCTAACCACATTTATCCTTGACTTTCACATGATTTTATGCCTTACCATTCATTTAAGTATCTTTTGGCAGAGACCAGAACCGCATAAAATATTTTGCATATCTAATGAAAATGTGACATTAGGTTTTTAGCATTTTTTTTCATCTTTCTGAAAGAAACTACATTAATTTAACACATGCTTAATGGTGACCAGAATCACTAGCTAAAGATAATTTATCTAAATAAGATCAAATACTACTCAATGACATGTAAAAGATTCGAATGCTATAGCTGGGGGAAAAAACTTGCAAACCCCTTTTCGTGCTATACATATGAATTTACACATTACAACAATACAATTTAGCTAGAATTACTCTATGAAGTATAGGAAAAACTCTCTTACCATTTCTACAGCAGGGCCTGTAGTCCTGCCTTTCCAAACAGGAGTTTTCTGTAAAGAACTGTACTTTTCATTCCATGTGTTAGATAAACTTCCCTCTGTAATAAATAATTACACAAACAAGCAAATAAATAAAAGCAAAAACCTCCAACTCAAGTTAGTTAAGAGGCTGAAGCAGGAGCAGTTCCATGAATTCCAGGCTGCTGCTACCACCACCTCCTTCTTTTCCAGAAAAGTCCTATTCTTTTAGTTTATGAACTGTCAACATTACTTAGAAGACAATTCTTAAAAAAAATAAAATTTGTCAGGAGCAGTGGAGCACACCTTTATTCCCAGCACTTGGAAGGCAGAGGCAGGTGAGATAGATCTCTGTGAGCTTGAGACCAGTCTGGTCTACAAAGGAAGTTCCAGGCCAGCAAGGGCTACATAGCCAGATCCTGTCTCAAAACAAAAACAAAAACAAAAACAAAAACCCACCTTTCATGCAAGCATATAGCTTAGCACAGGTTTAATAAATGCCATAAATCTAAACAAGATCTTTCCTGAATGTTTAATTAAGAGACTTTTTTTTCTCCAGTATGAATTTAGAGATTATGGAATATTCTACCACTGAGCCCCAGCCCCAGTTCTAGTTACGATACTCTTTAAGCAAGGTGTAGTGGTACACACCTTTAATCCCATATATACTCTTTGATAATTTTAGTAAAATTTTCTTTCTTTTTATTTTTTTGAGATAAGGTCTCCCTGAAGCTCCAGCTGCCTTAGAACTCACTGTGTAGACCAGGCTGGTCTTGATTTCACAGAGATCTACCTCCCTCTGCCTCATGAGTGTTGGGATTAAAGGCAAGGCTACCACATCTAGCTAAGAAATTTTTCTTAATTTTCCACAACTGAAAACCAATTCTCCCTTAAAAGCACACAATTTAGGGCTGAGGGGATGGCTCAATAGGTAGAGTACTTGCCACATAAGCATGAGGACCTGACCTGCATTTATTCCCAGCACCCAAGTAAAACCTGGCCCAGCAGGGTATGCCTATAATCTCAGCACATGGAAGGCAGAGACAGGAAGATCCCTCGGGCTCACTGGCCAGCTCCAGGTTCAATGAGAGAATATTTTTAAATAAATAAGGTGGTCAGTGATTGAGAAAGATACCTCTGAACTCTACACACACATACACAAAAATAAAATAAAAACTTAAAAGTATATGAACTTAAAGTTACCAGTAGGAGGGGAAAAAAAAATCAATGCTTATAAGCTATAATGAGTTATATATTAACTTAGAAAAGAAAAACAATACATCCAAACTATAATACATAACTAGAAGCACATAATTCTTACCTTTTAAACTGACAAGGGCTTTTGCTGAAGAGCCTGAAATTAAAAACAAAAATCAGTAAATATTTCATAATCAAAGTGAGAGGAAGAATACTTTGGGGGTAAAACTAATCCAGTTTGAGCAAGGTTATTTGACATGATGGTTTGATATGCAATTACAAATAACTAGCTGGAGCCATGCTTTTGGCTCACACCTTTAATTCTAGCACTTGAGAAGCGAAGATAGGATCTCTGTGGGTTCAAGGCCAGCTTGAGCTACATGGTAAGTTCCAGGACAATCTGCACTACACAGTGAGACCCTGCCTTAGAAAGAAAGAAAAGAAATAACTAGCAGGCAATTCAAGCGATAAGCCCAGAACTCAGGGTAAGAACTAGAGAGACACTGGGGAGTCCTACCGAAGTTGTAACAGCAGCTGGAAACCATTCTAAGAGAGAAAAATGTAAACAGAAAGGGAAAAGGAAGAGCAAAGACAAGTAATTTTGGATCCTCATTCAAAAGTGCGGTGTGCTAGAAAGAAAAAACAACAACAACAACAACAACAACAACAACTGACCTTAGAGCAAAAGTCAGGAAAAGTAACAGAATGGAGAAAACAGAAAATGAACCAGAGACTGTCATAGCAGGCAGTTATGTCCCTAAAGTCTAGAATGCAGGTAGTACACGTAAACACTTGAACCATGCTGGAAAAAGAAGCTCAGAACACCCAAGGAGGGCTAGCATAAATGCTGAGGGGATTCACTACATAAAACAAACTTGAGTGTGTATTAGAACAACCAGGAAGCTTTTCTTACACACAGAATTTATTATCAATAAAGCTCTTATGGGGATCTGTTGCAGGTAACCCTCTTTGAGAAACAGAGGGCCACAGGTTCTGTTAAAACTGTAAAGGATAAGCTCTATGGATGGTGGAAGTAGGAGAATCAACTGGGAAAGGAGTTTTTTTGATGTTTAATGGTCAAAATATAAAATTATGGGTAAGGGTAGCAGGGGAAGAATGTCATAAAATCTTGCTAAAAAGGGCTGGGGATACAGCTTGGTTGAGTGCTTGCCTGTTATGTATGAGGCCCTGGGTTCAATCTCTAGTACCACAAAATAAATAAAAATCTTAAGAAAGCCTTAAACACAACACAACTGAGAAGCAGTGAGGTAGACAGAGCACACACATAGCCGCGCAGATAACCAAGAAAAATATAGCTCATCCAAGGAAAACATGACTATGTACCAAGTGCTGTTTGAGTGGCAGGTCCTGCTTGGGCAATGGGGACACCACAGCAAGGAAAATAAGCCAGTGTCCCCACTCTCCTGAAGCTTGTGTTCTGGTTAGGGGGGACAAACAAATTAAGCCAGGTGATGATGAGCACTATGGAAAAAGTCAACCAGGATAACAGAGAAACAGAGAAGTGGAGTGTGGGAGGGCAGACTATTTTTATGTAAGTACCCATAATTAACTTCTCTGAAAGGGTCATCTTAACAGGGACCTGGAAAAAAGGTACAGGTCACAAGGGCATCTTTTACTCCATAAAGGTGGAAATCATCTTGAGGATTCTGATTTGTGACCTTTAACCCTTTTACTTTTTTTTTTCTTTCTTTTGCTTTTTTTGTTGTTTTGTGACAGGGTCTCCTTGTAGCCCCAGCTGACCAGGAACTTGCTATGTAGACCAGGCTGGCCTGGATCTGAGATCTGCCCAACCTCTGCCTCAGAGTGCTGGGATTAAAGGTGTGCACCACCACGGCAGGCAGAAATAAACATTTTTAAAAGCGAGAAAGTGACTAGGTTCTAGATCATTGAGGTTAGCTGGTCTGAATTTGGCTCTGCCAATTCTTTGCTATGTTACTTTCTGCGAATGCCCTAAGCTCTCTGTGTTGTTGTTTCTTCATTTGTAAAATAGGGACTAAACAAGTACATATGTGAAAAGTACTAAGAACAATGTCCACAGTACATAACTAGCTTTCACAGAGCTCACTGTTAAATATTACATTGCTTAATCAAATACCTATTGGTTTAGAAAAATGAATTTTATTTATCTATTTTTAAATATTTTATTTTATTTTTTAAATTTTATGTGTATGAGCACATTGCTTGCATGAAGGTATTTGCACCCATGTCGTGCAATGCCCGAGAAGGTCAGAAGAGAGTGTTGGATCCCTTGGAACTGGAGTTAAAGACGGTTGTTAGCTGCCATGTGGGTGTTGGACTCAAACCTGGGTCCATTGCAAGAGCAGTCAGTGCTTTTAACAGCTGCATCACCTTTCCAAAACCTTTCACCTTTTATAGGCAGGTGAATGTGATTACATTAGAATCCTGCTCTAACCAGGTCTAGCTATTCCTCATTCAATGAGTATTTACTGAATGCTTGCCTCAAGCAGTTTTAGAGGCTGGGGATACCCAGTGAAAGCCTCTGCTCTCAGAGAGCTTATATTCTAGAGGAAAGAGACATACAATAAATGAATACATAAAACTAATTAGTTTGTGATAGTTACTATAAGAACATAAACAGGGTAGCTAGGGAAGCTTCTCTAAGGAAATAACATCTGAAATGAACAAGCTTATTATAAAGGCAGGAGGTCGCAGCACAGAGTCTGGGCAGAAGAAAACTAACAAAAAAGGCCTGAGAAATTAGTTTAGAATCTGAGGGAGAAAATGACCACTGTGCTCAGGGAGTAGAGTAGAAAGGTATAATAGGGGTGTGCATGGAGACGAGAAGGCAGGTGTCTTCCCAGTTATTTCTGCGTTACTGTGACCAGAATACCTGACTAAAACAACTTAAAGTTGGGAAGATTTATTTTGCTCAAGGTTTCAGAGGGTTCATTTGGTTCATCATAGTAGGAAGAAGATGGGGAAGCAGGGAACAGATGTGATGATGGCCAAGAAGATGCCAAGACAACACACAACCACCAACAAGCCCAGTGACCTACTTCCTCCAACTAGGCCCCACCTCCTAATAATGCTGTCATGGGATAAAGGTCAGAACCTTCATCACCTAATTGTCTCTGGAGGTGTTCTCAGACACACCCGGACTGTGCTTTACGAATCTTGGTATTTCTCAATCCAATCAAGCTGACAATCAAAACTAACCATCATAGCAGCATCAGAAAAAAATGAAGTGGCCCTGCTCTGGTGAGCTGCTGATCAAATAATCACACAAATAAATGTACAGCTGCAAGTGAGACAGCCACCCTGAGAAGTTCCAGTGGTATGCAAAGACTAAAGACAACATACTCATCAGGGAGGATGAAAAATCTTAAAATGGGACTCCAAAGGATAAGGAGAAGTATCTGAAAATGGAGGGGAGGGGAGAACACCCTAGTTAGAGAATAGCATATGGAAAGACCCTGAGGAAAAGGGAGCACCATGGTGAATGAAGATGGCCCAGGTAACTCAAAGGGACAGCAGGAGGGGAGAGGTACAAAATGAAGCTGGGCAAGTGGGGGACAGTCAGGCCACAAAGGCCCTTATAGCTGGCTACTAAGGGGTTCTAAACAAGAGGATCCCTGGGTATGGTAAGGAACACCTGTGATCCCACTACTCAGGAAGCAGCAGCAGGAAGACTGCTGCAAGTTCAAGGTCAACAAGCTCTGCAAAGTGAAATTCAAGCCAGCTAGAGCTACATGGCAAGGCCCTTCATGAATAATTAATTAAAAAAAAAAAAACAACAAAAACAGGGCCCTGTGTGGTGGTACATGCCTATAATCTGAGCACTCAGGCAGAGGCAAGAGGATCTCTATGAGATCAAATCCAGCCTGGTCTACATAATGAGCTCCAGGCCAGCTGGGGCTATAAGAGAACCCTGTCTCAAAACAAAACAACAAAAAACCCCAGAAAAACAGAACGATATATACCCACTTTGAAAGGATCCCCCTGGCCTACTATTAGGGAAGGAGTGAGTTACTAGGAACCTGAGGTGATTCATGTAAGAACAGAAATGGTGACAACCTGGGCTGAGTGATACTAAGAAGAACTGAGAGGTATATAGAAGGTAAAGGCTCCAAGATTTAGTAAATGCTTAAATATGAGAAGTGAGAGCAAAGAGTCAAAGATGACTAGGTTTCTGCTCTGACACCTGAGTGCACGATGTAACCATTACAACAGGAGCAACTGGAAGTATCTATGAGTGTTGAATTTTGAACCTTTAAAGTTTGATGAACCCTCTGAAGCATCTAAAAAGGAATTGTGAAATAGAAAAAAAAAAAAAGTTCAAGAACACAAGCTCAGAGTAAAGATTTTTTTTTTTTTTGTCTTTTGAGACAGGGTCTTCCTGTAGCCTCAGCTATCCTGGAACTCACTATGTAGACCAGGTTGGCTCAAACTCACAGAGATCGGCCTGCCTGCCTCTGATAAGTACTGGGGTTAAAGGTGTGTGCTACCACATGCCGCTCAGAGCAAAGATTTTTGACTAAAGATAGTCTGTTTCCTCATATTCAAGTACTTACATCAATTGAAATGAAGATTAAATGAGTAGGAAAAAAATAACAAATTGTATGAGTAAATATGTATAATAACCTTTTTATATATCTGGTCCATAGTAAGAACTCAATAAATGACAGCTTTTATTATTGATATTGCAGAGGTTATACCTAATATGCTAGCTAGCTCCCTTAACTAAAGTTGACAAAAATTGTTTCTTGTATCAAACTCAAATCACCTTTCCTCTCCGTGATCATGCTCCATTTTAATTATGTCTATTATTCTACAGTCCATTCTGTTTTAGGCAAGTCTTAAGTCTATGGTACGGGGTAATGTAAATGATTAGGTTACAGTTTGAGAGTGTAGCTGAAATCTGAACCTTAGGATAAACCCCAAGTTTCTGCAAAGGACAGCAGTAAGAAAAACTTTTCTTGGGGGAGGGGTGGTGGTAGGGTTAAGGCAAGGTCTCACTCTGTAGCCCAGGCTAGCCTTGAACTTGCATCTATCTTCTTGCCTCAGCCTCCCAGGTGCTAGGTTAACAGGCATGGGTCACTATGCCCAGTTTAGAAAAATTTCTACAGATGGCAAGTGACATTCTTCCTATCAGGCTCTGTACTTGCAAGCATCCTAAATCACAATCATACTCTCCAAACAAGAAACAATAAAACTCACAGATGTTCTACAGTTACACCCTATTGGATACAGTAATGACCTATTCGATACAGTAATCACCACCCATTTAAACATAAGTCAAGACTAAGTGAAAATAAAAAATCAGAACCTTGGCCATTCCATCTGGAATGTTCCACAGCCACATATGACTAGTGGCTAACCTATTTGACACTGGAAAAATGAACATTTCCTTCACTGAGAAAGTTCTTTGGGGACTTAGCATGTGTCTAAAGCAAAGTTGGAGCACAAACACTTTGAATATAAGTCTTCATCAGCTTGACAACTTGAACTTTTGACTTCATAATATATTTTAAGAATACACGACCTCAAAGAAAATAGAATCAGGAGTATCTTAAGCTTTCACTCTTCAAGGTCTATTTGCCTTGTGCACAGATACATTTAAACGGTGATCAAATCTTTTGTTCTTATACTCTGACCAAGTGACACAAACACATAAACCAAATAGTGAGTGTGGATTCAGGACCCTTTTGTAGTGAACTAAAATATCTGCCTTTTAATAGTTTGTACAATACAACAATTACGAAATTGTTCCCATGTCCTGAGGTTGCCGAATTGTTGCTTTTACTGACTCGTGACAGGTGAGCATCCCTGTCTCAGAGGTCAGGTGAGTAATTATGGTTAAGTGAGGCAATGCACAGGGGTGGGTGTCGGGGCAGAGTACCGTACATGTATGCCGCGGTGGTCACATCCATGTGTAAAGACACCCCATATTCTTAAGACACATCCACTCAGAAGGAAGTCTGGGATGGAGCTACCTCAACACTGTGTATCCAGGCTGGATCATCTCCGGAAAGGTCCACGGCCACCTGTAGTCCCAGGGGAAGGGGCCAACCCTGCGACACGGAAGGAAACACTTCCAGGATGGACACGGGGGGTGGGGGGTGGGGGGTGGGGTAGGGACGACTACAAGTGCCCGCAGAGGCAGAAGGTGTCACAGGGCAGAGCAGAGGCCCGGGCATGAAGAGGGGCTGTGCCCGAGGTGCCCAGCCCGAGCCCTCCCGGCCCCCGACTAGCGAGTTACATAACCCGGCGGGCGGCTTCGGCGCCCGGAGGGCGGTGCAGCGGGCAAGAACGGCGCCCGCGGCTGGGGGCCGCTCTTCGCCCACCTCGGCCCCGGCCCACACGGGCCGGTCGGGCTGGGGGAGTAGCAGCCGACTGGGTCAGGACCGGCTGGGCTCCCGGGCTTTCGGTTTCCGGCGCTGGCGCTCACACAAGCCCAGAAACCTACACACGGACACCATAACAAAGGCGGCGACGCGGCGGCAGCACCCGAGTAGGACGACCGGGGACCGCGAGGGGAAGGGTGGCAGCTAGCCCACCTGCCCGGCGAGGGGCCTCGACCGCCCGTCCCGCTCGGTGCGACCGCGGGCAGGCAGCGGGCGGGAAGAAGGGCTGCTCCCAGACGCTACTTACTCTCGTCAGGCAACTGGTCGAGCTCCGCCATCTTGAACGAGCCGCGCCGCTTTTTCAAAGGCTGCCCGCCGCGGTGCATTGTGGGGCGGAGACTGTCTGCGAGGGAGGTTCGAATGCGGAGCTCGCGGCCCGCGGCGCCCGCTCCCGCCCGGCCACCCGGCTCCGCCGGAGCCTGCCGGGAGGGGGCCTCCGGGACC